GTTCAGAACTTCTATATTGACCAATTTTTACGCACTGCTGACGATTTTTAAGATAGTCCGTGAATAATTTCAGCTGTACTCCTCTTATACCAATTTTTTCAAGTTTATGGAATAACAAGGAGGAAGAAATGGTGTCAAATGCCTTCGCAAGGTCTAAGAAGATCCCAATTGTGTACATACCTTTATCCAAACTTGTGCATATATAATTAGTGAGTTGATGAACCGCTTGGTTAGTTGATCTTTTAGATCTGAATCCAAATTGACGATTGGAGAGTAAATTGTTGTTCTCAAGATATTTAATTAGTCTAACGTTAATAATTCTCTCCAAAATCTTAGAAAGGCCTGATAGTACTGCAATAGGTCTATAATTGGTAATATTAGTTTTGTCTCCGGCTTTAAAAACGGGAGTTACTAAGGCCTTTTTAAGAAGATTGGGAAATATACCGTTCGTTAAGCATAAGTTAAATATATATGTTAGTGGAGGTGCAATTACGTGCTTAAATCTTTTAAGTACATTATTAGGGATGTCATCCCACCCAACAGCACAAGAGTCCTTTAATCCATCTATAATACTAACTATTTCTTTAACGTCAGTGTCGAGTAACACAAACGAACCTAAGGTAGTAAGTGACATAGTTGTACTTTGCGAAAAGGAATTTCTGTATAGAGCTTTTTCAGCTAGATTTTTACCAATATCAACAAAATATTTGTTCACTTTATTTGCCGCTAGAATTGGGGTTGTATCAGTTTCTAAAAGTTCTAGAGCAGAGTCTGATTTCTTTGATCTAAAAGTATTATTTTTAACAACTTCCCAAATGAGTTTACTATTCTTACCAGCTTTTTGTATTTGAACTTTGTCGTATTGGGTTTTTAATTTTTTCAACAGATTATTGCAGAAATTCCTGTACCGTTTATAAGTAACAGAAAGTATCTCGTTATCCGGTGCGAGTCGTAGTTTTTGGTGTAGTTTATCCCTATGTCGAATGCAACGGACCAGGCCGGGTGTAATCCACGGCTTAATATTGCAGTATTTTCTAGGTAGAATTTTATTAGAAGTATTCTTATTAATAATTTTTTGTAATGAATCAATAAAATACTGCAGACTAATATTTGGATCATTGGAACAGTAAACAGGGTCAAGGTTTAAGCCGCGTATGTCATTTTCAAGTGCTAACATATTTAGTTTTGTTATGCTACGCATGCAGTTTTTTCTAGGTAATGAAATTTGTAGAGTTAGCAATATTGCGTGGTGATCTGTAAGCGATGAATTAGTAATGTAAGTTTTAGAGGGCAATTTAGATTTTATAATTATGTGATCTAAGCATGAACCACTCTGGTGTGTAGGGTGATCATGGGCTGGCAATAGTCCGTGGAATGTACAGATATTCAGGTAGTTATGCGCATGAGTGTTAGTTTTCCCAGAAGCAATATTTATGTTTATGTCACCTAACAGTATAATATTACTATAACATGAAAGTTGTTCTAAAATAGTACTAAGCGATTCTATAAATATATCTACATTTTGAGATGGTGGCCTATATACAGCTAAAACTATTGTATCTTGGTTAATTTTAATTAAAAGACTATTACAGCCTTGAAACAAGGGTTCGTGCACTGATACTGTAAGGGTATTTTTAATGTATACAACCAGACCATCATTTTGGTTGATATTCATTGCAGTTTTATACAAAGTATAACCCTTCAGCATTGGCAAATTATCTGTTTGTTTACATAACCAGCATTCTGTAAGTACAATGACGTCACAGCTAATATCAAGGTTCTGTAATAGTACTTCAAACCCATTAAAATTCCGACTTATACTACGAATATTTTGAGTTAGGAAAGTTAGTAACTTATCACTAGTAGGAATAAAATTTTTGCAGTTTTCAACATTACAGACAATCGATTCAGATACGGAAAAATTATCAATATCGCTTAGGAGATTATTAGTCATATCGTTAGGATGTAATTAAGTTAAGATAAAAATAGAAATTAAGACTACTGTTTATGTGCTACTTACAAATAAAATAGGTGGCGCTCTTAGGCGCCTTCATAGTCTATTGTGTGAATATAACTGTCTTCTGCATATTTGCGTGCCGGGCAGTTCACATCACCAGTTGGATGGTCACACTTCCGCTTGAACCGCCTGCAGGTTGCACATTGGGAAGGGGAAGATTTATTGTTACATTCTTTAAAAGAATGTCCCATCTCCCCACAGTGGTTGCACGTAGGGCTTGTTTCGCGGCAAAACTTGGCTGCATGACCAAACTGTTGGCAGTTGAAACATCTGGTCACTATTGTAAAATCTTTTACGGGGCATGATGTCCAATTTATAAAGATACGGCCTTGATTAATCAGCAATTTCCTGATTATCGCTGGAACTTCTATAATATAATTACACGTAGGACGATCTTTCTTACCAGACTTGTGGCTTAGTCTAATATCATTTAAAAAGGACGCACGGGTAGTATTCGGCAATTTGTCGGAGAGATTCTGTTCATAGATGCACTCCATGACATCTGATTCAGTGAGGGCTACAGGGACACCAATGACAGCAATACGTGGTCGGCGTTTAGTAGGTTCTTCGACTTTGAGGCCTGAGGAAACTAGTTTTTCTGATGTTTTCAGCTTCTCTATATCGCCTTTGCTATCCGCACTGATAATAACGCCTCCGTTTCTAATTTTCTTCAACCCGCGGACACGAAGTTTCATCTCTTCAGGGGAGATAATTTTCTGCACTAGGCTCTTGGTTGCGTCACTGGTCTGCGTCTTATCATTAGGGTAGATAGCAATGGAGCTGAGATTGGCTGGCCGTATGAATTTGTCCTCTCCTTTTTTTACCATGTTGGCATAGGAAGTGCAGTCTGACTTACGTTCAGCTTCTACAACTTTTTTTAGTTCTTGGAGGGAATTTGCAATTTCCTGTTGTCCTTGTAATTGCTGGATGGTAACATGGGCTTGGATTGTTTTCTGCTTCAGGGACTGGTAAAGTACCGCTATCTGCGATGTCCCATGAGAGACTTTACGGCATAAATTTGTGACACGGAGTTTCTGGTCGTTATTCATTTTTCCTTCTGCGACAATACCGCAAACTTCCGACATAAAAGCGTCAATAGAAGTCAGCCATTTCTGGATCTCCGGCGTAGAAATCAATTCTACTACAGGCTCAGTGGACGCTGACGGCTCTGGGTCTTTCTGGTGGTGCTGTTCAGATGGTGATGGCGTCGGCGGTGGACTACGTCGTAATAATTGGCTACGCCCAAAAGGGCTTTGTCCTGGGTTAGACATACTAACACAATTTATAACTTTTTAAAAGTACTTAGTTCATATTGCACAGTGTACAGAGATGCAACATAAAGTTATTCGCAAACACTTTACTTCACGCGACACACTTTATTTTTGCAAGTGTGCAAAAGTTTTTACTAATTAATATTTATAATTAAGAACGACTCATTATAATAACAACAATAAGCACGTCCGCTTAGTCTCACATCTCTCTCTTTTCAAATTGATTCTCTTTAAATAAATCGTTCTATTATTCTATATATATATACAGGTTGGAATTTTGTAATGCCACCTGAAGGGTAAGTGCTCTTAATACTTAAGATAGAAAAATTTATTCTAAGAAAACATTCCTTTATTTTCGAAAAGAAAGAAATCTGCATTCAAAGATTTTTAAAATTCGCTTGCCGCACACGGTAATCGAACCGACTGTCTGTAAAAATCTGTAAAAATTGCACCCTGTACATATATTGCATCGATTATTAGTGTCAATAAGGATGAAATTTCTCTAACAATCGTCATAAATTGAATGAAAGGAAAACAATGAACGATCGATGCAATAAAAGTACAGGGTGCAAACTTTGACAGATTTTAGTCGGCTCCATAACCGTTATGACATAGCCTCCATAACCATAGCTCCAGAATGCAATTTTGTTTCTTTTTAAAAATAAAGGAATGTTTTCTTTGAGTAATATTTTCTATCTTAAGTATTAAGAGTACTTCCCATTCAGGTGGCATTAAACTGTCAAACACCTAGCGGTCACCGGTGACCGCAACCTATTGTTCTATAATTGTGTCTATAATGACGGTACTCGACGAGTTAAAAAATGCTATCCGGTATATTGTTTTGTATAGAGGTAGTTATTGAACACTCGTAAATTAATTACAAAATATATACGATTTTATGTTTTGATTTTACATATCAGATTGCTGCACAACATATCTGTTCAGAGTACGGACAGATCATACATTTTTAACGAGTTTCCAATGCAGTGACCGCTCGTACAGACAGCGATAGCTTGCTGCTACCAATTTCCGGACTTGACATTCATTCGTACGAACTGACCTAAGTCTAAACCTACGCGGTATTTTACTAAGCAGTATTGACTCTGAAAGATAGGAAATATGTTTAAGTATTTTTAATGGAACCAAATTATTATGAACCTTCTCTAATTCGGAAATTTGATATATGATACGTTTTATTATTAGGTTTAATTGTTTAATCCATACTTTATCTATAATTGACGAGCATATACCTATGAAGAACGTAGATGAAGCGAAAGAGGTACGCCGGAATCCCGTTATTTGGTATTCTATTGTCGCTGCCTATCCCAATGGGCCACAGGGTAATGATATGTGTATATGTAATAGTATTTTATTAATTCACAACCAATACTTTTGTGTACCGTAGATTTATAGGCTTTTAGGAAAGTAAACCAATAATTTCAAGTATGGCCATATAACAACAGAGTTGTTTATCTATGATAACACATAACGATGGCTTAATGCTCTGTTGTTCACAAAATCTTGGATTTAGTGTCTGGGTATAAATAGATTAGCATTACCACGTTAGAAAAACAATGACGACTTATGAGTGAAATTATGTACAAGTGTCGTAGAAATGACGTAAGAATTCATTTTATTTAGTGATTTAATTCATTTTTGAAAGAATTTACTACAGTAGTTAACATTAAAAAATATAATAAAACAATCCTTACCCGGCATTGATTGCACTGTATAAAATCCAAAAATAAATCACATTACACAAACGAAATACTAACACCATATAACTATTTCGAAAACATAATGGCAACTAAACTTCGTCGGTACGTAAGGTGATCGCGCTGTAACCGAGACGTCCTCTCTCGTCGAAAGCCGAGGAGCAACTGAAGTATAGACACGTTACTAGGATGTTAGAAGAAAATGTTCATATGGTGGGTAGAATGATGATTATTGATATATGATGGAAAATTGATGATAGAATATTGTGCTGGTGGGTTATAAATGTAACGTTTGTCTCGTAATTTATTTGTGTGATGATCTTGTTTGATTGAATGTCTGTATGATGTGTGAATGTTTCTTCGATATCGGATAAGGCAATAGAAATAACAATCTAAGGAGTTTACATTATTTGTCGAATGTCAGTGGTAGTCCCAATTGCGTTTAAACTGTCAAACACCTAGCGGTCATCGGTGACTGCAACCTATTGTTCTATAATTGTGTCTATAAAGACGGTACTCAACGAGTTAAATGCATTTGTATTTTTTTAAGGGGGAAAATCATCGAAAGAATGTAAGACAGATGGTTTATTTGTAAAACATGCAAATGAAACAAAGAGTTTCCTTTTTCTTGTATAGAAGCACTATTTCTATGGATTGTCAGTATGCATATGTGAGCACCATGTTAGACTTAAGATCTTTATTATTTTTATTTTTATTTTAGTAAGTTATTAGTATAATGCGTCAAGCGTGTCTTTGCATTGTTCTTACATATGCGTACAGTATTGAAATATGTATCAGAGACATTGTAGAACATACTTTTTTAAAAGAGTAACGAATGGAGTTTCTTGCTCGTTCTTCTCCATTCGAATCTACGTTTTGGAATGAGCATCTAGCTTCACCTAGCTTCACTGACGGACTGACTGACAGACTATTATTTATTTAGTATTTGTTGACGTTTCAAAAGTACCAAACTATGGTTTAATTGAAATAAATGCTTTGACTTTACTTTGATGCGTATACATAAACCAATGCGTATACATGAATCGAATGACTTTTCCCACCTGAATGAGGCGAGAGGGAGTGTCAAGCTCTTGAACTGACTGACTAAAAACCACAATGTTCCTACTCCTGCACTTTGAGTCGGAGCCCCGGCAACCCGTTAAGTTCTCCGCGGCTCCGTATAGGCATCAGCTATCTATTGGGCCCCATCCGTGGTGGTCTGATGGCTCTTTGAGGCGCGCGCGGAAATGTCATTTGTCTAGGAGCTGTTTCTCTTTGCCGGTAATTATATATTGTATTTGCCTACGTATATTTAGAGCAATAAGTAACTTTTCTACTTTTGTTCTTCTTACGTTGTGGAAAAACGAGAAAAGTGAAAGAAATTCCTAGTATTAAAGGCAGGGAAAGCCTTTAAAAAGACTTTAAAAGAAAAATATGGTGATATTTTCATCTTACTTAAGTTTCAGTGACCTAGAAATGTGCAGAACCTTTACAGTAAGTGTGTCGCTTATATTTACGTGTGTTTCCAAGTAAACTAAGGGAAAAGGGTCCAAGCGATTTGGGTCACTAAATTGGTACTACTTAAGGAACATTTTCCTTAAAATCCTTTTATTTTGAGAGTAGATACTTGAAGTAATGTTGTTACTTATTTAACCTTTTGCTCGTAAATGTTGTTTCTGCCTTGTTAGATTGAGAGAATGAATGAATGAGGCCTTGAATTTTGATTTTCATTGATCTATATAGTCGTACTAATATTATTAATGCCAAGTCCTTTATGTCAAATCGGGTAAAAGGATCGGGATGAAATCTTGGAACAGGGGTAGACTGCGGTCTGGAATGTCACATAGAGTACTTTGTTTATGACATGCGAACGCAGGCGAAGCCGCTGGCCGATGCTAGTGTTAAATCATTTTTGAACTTAGTGTTGATTTGTAGTGGTAGGTAGTTTAGAATACTTCTATCACTATCTCTGTTTCTCCAACAAATATCTATATTACGACTAAGGGACAACATAATATATGATAGAGGGCCTGGCAACAGTGGCCTTTGGTTAATAGGAACCGCTTAAAATACGATGTTTAACTTGCCTGCCAACCGAGAAAAGTAAACCAAACCCCACGTAGAATAAGTAGATCAGAAATAAACTGTTGACGCTGACTGACAGGCAATTGATGTCATGTGTTTTGCTTGATCATCATAATCATCATCATAAATGCAAGATGTCCACAGTTGAATAAAGGCCTTCTCTAATAAATTCCTGGTCAGCCGAATGAAAACCCCAGACATCATGCCGTCCAAATTTCAATAAGCAATTTCCGGTAGATAGTACTGGTGTAATTTTGAAAAAACAATTTTTGTTTTGGGTAGCCCATTTATCAAGGAAGGCAGAGAATAAAACATCATGCTACGATTAATAGGCGCCAAGTAGGACGAGTGAAATCGTGCGGAAGTAGCTATATAGTAAGTAATGAAAATATTGAATGCTAAACTCCTTAGGTAAATAACTTTCTGTATTCATGGACAATCGATTGGAAACTTTAAAAACTTTCTAATAGTGTATTTAATAGATGCAATATAAAATAAACACAATATAGTTTAGTTTCCATTCAAATTTAACTTGTATATAAGTTTCAAAAGAGATCAATAATAAAAATAGTCTAGAAGTTCAATTTGCTTTGAAGTCCAACGAAGCTTGCAGTCAAAGTTTTTAATGAATTGATTTTTTAATATACCGTGGTGTAGGAGACGATTGATAGATTTCGTTATTTTATTAAGTGTGGGAGAGCCATACTTCGGCACGAATGGGCCGGCTCGACCGGAGTGATACCACGGCTTCACAGAAAACCGACGTGAAGCAACGCTTGCGTTGTGTTTCGTCGTGTGAGTCAGGTTACCGGAGGTCCACTTACTGTCCCCTTCCCCAATCTCCCCAATCCCTGAATTCCCAATGATCCTCAAACTCCTAATCCCCAAAAGGCCGGTAACGCACTTGTAACGCCTTTGGTGTTCCAGGTGTTCATGGGCGACGCCGATTGCTTACCATCAGGTGATCCGTCTGCTCGTTTATCGGCTTATGGCATAAAAAAATATTATGGTTGAATATTATGTGGTTTATTTTATATTAATACTCTTTGGCGATAGTCGAAATATGTTTTTTTATAACATCCCATGAACATAATGTAATACTATAGATAAATCCGTCCTGTACGACGGAAGCGAGCCTTTTGAATTATGACAGAAGACTCAAACAATTAACAGATTAGAAAATATTACATTTGAGCTAATAACAACTAAAGTAACACATATTGACGTTTTTATATTTTGACAACTTAGGTCTATAGCAGATTGCGTTTATCAATCGATTTCTAAGGCTGGTTTTAGTGTCGCGCTGACCGTACGCTGACCGTCGGCGCTGATAGGCGAGAAATATGAACGCTAATAGCTACGCGTCATTCAAAAACGCTAACTAGAAGTTCATACAATCTTCGCTGTCAGCGCTGTCGGTCAGCGCGACATTAAAACCAGCCTTTTAGAGCCTATTGCCATAAAATACCAAGTTAATTCAATTACACAGTTAATTTCTAAACAAGTAAATAGTGGGTGTAACATTCTAGGGATGTGTGTATGCCTTTACTAATGTTTTCAACGATAAAACGTAGTTAGGAAATATTCCAGTATCGTGAATTTATTTGCATTTATGTCACGGTATACAAACGCGGAGAACCTAACGGGTAACCGGGGCTCCGACTCGACGTGCAGGAGAAGGAACGGTTTGGTTTTTAGTCAGTAAGAGTCTGACACTCCCTCTCGCCTCACCCAGGCGGGAGCAGTCATTCGATGATTTTCCCACCTTAAAAAAAAACAAAAACTATTTTTATTTCTTTCTATACATATACTTTATTCACACAATTTGCAACATTATCGCTCATTTCTCTAGATTTTTCCTTCATAGCGGTCTCATATAATTTTATGTCTACCACCATAAAGTCATGTCTTACTTAGACATAAAAATAAAGCCTACTTTGATACTGTGTTAGGACCGTAGTAAGTGCGGGCAATGAATAGGACCTCCCAAGAATATGAGAGGTCTATTGCCATGTTCCGCGTCTCAGATAGGAACAATAAAACCAAATAGGTAATTGGCCTTGTTACTACACTGTGACAAAGGAGCTATGTTTTTGAATAAATGTTTAAAATTGTATTTTCACATATTTCTTTAATAAATACTAGCTTCTGCCCGCGACCTCGTACGCGTAATCCGCGGAGAACCTAACGGGTAACCGGGGCTCCGGCTCGACGTGCAGGAGAAGGAACGGGGTGGTTTTTAGTCAGTAAGAGTCTGACACTCCCTTCCGCCTCACCCAGGCGGGAGCAGTCATTCGATGATTTTCCCCCCTTAAAAAAAAACCCATCTTTTCCCGTCCTCGTTCGTGATTTTCGGTAAAAAGTAAAAAAGTAGTATTGTTTAAAAAGTATCCTATGTCGGTCTCCTGGCTCTAAGCTACCTCCCTACCAATTTTCAGCCAAATCTATTCTGCCGTTCTTGAGTTATAAGTGGTGTAACTAACACGACTTTCTTTTATATATATAGATTAGAAGAATTATAGATAACATATTATAACATCACGCCTTTTATCCCCGAAGGGGTAGGCAAAGGTGCACACATAAGTAACAACCACTTTTCACTATTTGTGTTATCAATCTCATGTAATAGGGGGTGAGCCTATTGCCATATCAGTATATGGATACTGAATAGTAGCACGGAGTCTGGACTACTATTCAGTTTTTTTTTTAAAACCCAATAATACTTTGCCCTATCCGGAAATGGAACCCAAGACCCCTTGCCTGGCAGTCGTACTTGCGACCACTCGGCCAATAAGGTAGTCCTATACACTTCTATGTGTCGCGGAGAACCTAACGGGTTACCGGGGCTCCGGCTCGGCCTGCAGGAGAAGGAACGGAGTGGTTTTTAGTCAGTAAGAGTCTGACACTCCCATTACACTTATATGTTAATTAGTAACCATATTAACTTGAGATAAGGGTGGAGAACTAATTTATACAAGAATAATGCTTAAAACAAACATTGTATTACATAGTATTTATATAATTCAAAAGATAACTTTGACGAACTAACGAGTGTTAGATACATAT